CTTGTGACCGACCTACAGATTAACCCCTGTATCTGTCAACACGCCTTCAAATTCCTCCGTGACACAGTCTAAGACAAAAATAGTTGGGACACTTAAGCCAAGCGCTGTTTTTTTCCCTTCTCATGCTCACCTCGTCCCTCTCAAAGTTGTTTATCGTGGTTTCGGTCACCAAATCTTGTACACCAACATTGAGGGAACAAGGAGACCCCAAAGTGTCCCAACCATTTTGACTGACACTGTAGCACGAGGTTTATTTAAGACGGCTGACCTCAGACCCAGCATGCAATGTAAGCCTAGTCCTACACTAGCCTCCTTTTGCCCTGTCACACAATCCTGCTCATCCTCGTGGGGTAGGAACACATGACAAAACCTTAAAATACACCTGGGTTCATAGTCTAAGTAAAATAGAATCCTAGCAGTTTCAAAATGTCAATGAACGTTATTCATGTAATTCCATAGTATTTAACTAAATCAATGTCCACAACTGCCAATTTTCGATCTATTACTCCAGGTTCTAAACGAAACACGATTCACTGTTTCAAATTTTCGGCAGGTAATCTTGCATTGTGCATGACAACTGAAACAGAACATTAAAAACGTTGCAAATGTAAACAACGTGAAGCCTTCAGTCTCTCTCACCATTATCTTGATGTCATCACTCTAACTGTGCTAAAAAAAAAACACCTAGTGGCAGTCAATCGAATGATTCAGTCTGATTCAGTTCAATAATCGAACACAATCAACCACAAATGGTTAAGTGACAGTTCAGTTAAGTTCAGACTTCTGAACTTGATCAAACTCAGTTTGAACGTAACCAAATGTCCTAAACCGTCGGTCAATGCCACAAATCAGGAAAGCAGCCAAAAAAATAAGTAGACTCGTTGAAAAGCCCGGTGAAAAGAACAATAGTTCGACTGTAACGTTACTGAAACATCGTCTATGATCCACAACTGTTATCGCCCTTTAGAATCAGCTTTAATACCAAAGTCATGCGGCACTCAACAAACTTGAGGAAAGCTAATTCCACTGTCTAATGTTTTGTTGTTGTTGCTGTTCATCACAGGAGGCTTTCTTGCAATATATTTCCTGTAAAACGTCCCACTTTTGCCAACTTTGACCATCGAACCTAATCAAACTCAATCAAAGTTCGATTGGTGAGAGTTTGACTTTGTTTGATTACCGAGCTTAATAGAACTGTATCACTTGATTTTGTCCCTTTGATAAAACATTTCATTTATTTTGAGAAGTAACGTCGAGCCATTTTTTAAAATTAATTACAGAAAAGATTAAAAAACCAGCAGCCCATGGGGATCACAGTTGACATCAAAAAGCCCTCTAGATATCCAGTCCAAACTAGCGACAGAGCTCACTTGTGCAGAATTTACTAGTGTTTCTCGAGCCAATTGCAACATAGTCAGGGAGCAAGTGTCGTGAAATTAAGTCCCGTGAGAAGTTAGTGCTTAAAGCAAGCCACCGGTCTAAATATGTTAAGGGGACCACAGAAAATGAAAGATGTTGTCAGCAACTTTGTGACCTGCACCGGCATGATTCACGGGGGATTAAAACATGTCACATACGATATTAGCATGGAAACAAGGCTACATCTTAAATCATCTTTATTCCCTCTTATATGTCAATATTTCATCACCAAATAGTAAAAATAGCTTCACTCTGGCATTACACACACTTTTAACTGGAAATTGTGATCATGTGACCTAAAGTATGAAAGCGAGGCTAAATCTCAAATGTGCCCTTTTTTGTATCTTGTTTTGAAATATCACTATAAAAGTAAGTTATAATGAAGGAGAAACATTTCATAGACTTTCTCACATCAAAAACTAAAACCTTCTACCACTTTATCACGTTATCCAAGGCATGAAAACGAGGCTATATCTCCTATCATCACTAATTTGAAAATTACATTACAACATAGCGCGTGTGCTTGCCCTTTTCAGTCATTCCACTATCTCTGTTTGCAAATGATAGAACAATGTTTCATTGCTCAATGAAAAGCACACTCAAGAGTATTCTGGATAAGACTAATGAGTCACTTGACACTTCAAGGACTGGCGAAAGCGTTCCCTCCTCAGCTTCATCCTTTATGACAGTTGCTATCATCGATTGAATGACAGAACTACAGTCTCTGGACAAGCCACATTGGTTAAGCAGTTGCGCACAGTTAGCCAAGCACTTTAATGACTGTCTCTTTCACAAGGGTACCGTGAGAGTGATGAAGTGCAATTAGTTTTGGACCGATATGACTTAACTTCTTCGCTGAAAACTGCAACCAGGCCTCAAAGGCAAGGAAGCACAGACCCAGTGTATTACCCCATCACTGACTCGACTCAAGTTGCCAAAGTCAACATGAAGCGACTCGTCTCACTCAAATACAAATGAACTAACTGTACCTGGTGTAGAAGTCTATGGAATATGCTGTACAAAATGGAAGACGCTTCGTTGGGCCATGGGCATGTCAATGTGAAGCTACTCATCAAAGAACCAAGCATCTCCAAAGTAATCAGAAAGAGGCCGATACGAAGTTAATTTTGCATGCTCTTGATGCCACTACCAATGGTGCAACTACACTGGATATCCACTCGCGAGACACAGATGTCTTTGTGTTGTCCCTAAGACGCTATCTGGAGCTCTGCCAAAGACGTCGAAGGATGAGCTTCATGCCAATTTTCCAGTTACTCGGTACGGCTAAAGCAGCTGCCGTCCCTGCCTTTCATGCCTTGAATGGAACTGATAACATTGACAGCTGCTCAGGAAAAGGAAAATTGGGATGCTGGAAAGTCTTCAGTAGAGCTGATGAAGATGTCATTACTGCTTTTGCAAACCTTGGAACAACAGAACACCCAGATGAAGATACCATAAAGCAGGGAGTTGAGAAGTTTGTCTTCCATCTATACCAGCCAAATACAAGCATTTGTCAGGTGAATGAGCTAAGGTGGTCTTTATTTAAGAAGAAACAAGCACAATCGGAGAGACTACCACCAACCCAAGGTGCTTTACGTGAGGCCATTCTTCGAGCACATTATCAGACCATGATATGGAACAAAGACAAGGTTCCAAACCCGAATATCCCACCACCAGAAAACTATGGTTGGAAGAAAGACAGCAACGAGTGGCTGCCTGTGATGACGACAACGCCACCAGCTCCAGAGGCAATTATTAAGAGGGAAAAATGTGGCTGTGTGAAGCAGCGAACGATGCTCAACAAATCGGTGCCAGTGCTGAAAGGCAGGGCTAACATGCACTGAACTTTTTGCATGCTCTGCTGATGATTATCCCTTTGAAAATGCTTTGCAGGAAGATGATGGTGATGAATATATTGATGATAATGAAGAAAGTGACAATAACTATGATAATGCAAGTGATGATGATTAAGACAATTAATGTATTTGTGAATTATGTCTACCACAGTTTTAAGGACGATTAATCACAGTTTTAAAGTCGTAGAGTGTGTAAAAGGCTAGATAGTTGTTATTCTTGTCTCTTAAAATGGTTTTTGCCTGTAAGCAGCAAACATTTTCCATGTATTTGGAATTTCAGAAAACTGTATTATTTTCCCATGCCTTGCACGAATCGTATGGCTCATTGGCTTGCAGATTGTCTGCCCCCGGCATGTATGGTTAAACTAATGAGAAATTCTTTCTTACCTATTGTTTTCATGGAACAGCAGGTCGTCATCACTTCCAAAGAAAAGTAAACAATTAATTAAAAGACGCTTTTTAAAAATTACACAATAGTAAAGACTCGAACACAAGACGCTATCTGTCATTCATAGGGTGATCACGATGTCTTGATCTACTTTCGAGTGATGTTTGCACACTGTAAACAAGTACATAATTGTGAAAAAAACCATGTCCATAAAATTGGAACAATTATTATGCAAGTTTTGTCCTCTCCCTTAATCGAGTAAAGGATTTGTTAATGGCAGCAAACCATGGGATATAGGTTTTCAATGACATCTACACTTGGAAAAGATTTTGTTGTACGAAAGTTGGAAGGAAAATTACAAAATTAAATGAGACTTACCTGGAAGTTGAAGTTTGATTGTAATTCTATTGAGTCGCACACTGCCATAGAGGGATCACTTGAGATTGCAGTACACATGCGCACGTCAGTATTTGAAGGACAAAATGTGATTGCCTATGGTATACGAGTACAGCTACAGCAAGTACTAGATAACACATGGGTAGGGTAAGACAACACCTGAATGGTGTTGATGGGAAGGGCATGTGATCCCTCTATGGCAGTGTGTGACTCAATAGAATTACACTCAAACTTCAACTTCCAGGTAAGTCTCGTTTAATTTTTAAATTCTATTTCGTCACCACTGCCACAGGGATCCCATGAGATTTTAAAGCAAGGCAATCACATGAGGTAACCATGAAAGGTTTATTAGAGGGTCCATGTAACAGTTATCAACTTGTAAAACACAACTTGTGTAAATACCTATGGCTGGATAATAACTCCCATAATATAAGGGTTCAAAAGTAGCTTAAACTGATGTATCAATAGTATAACAGAATAAACATAGTTCACCGAAAACATTCTCCTAATCCTTTTTTAAAAGTGAGTTAGCAAACGTAAGTTCATTAGATGCAGGCTTGTTATAAAATCTGTCAAATGTTTTTGATGATGACCAGCCTGCAGTGTCCAGGATTTCCTGAATGGGTACACATGCTGCTTTTGCTTTTGATGTGGCAGCTGCCCTTGTGTAGTGGGGATGGAAAATACTAGTATCTATTCCAACTGCTTCCATCACAGTTTTAATCCAGCAGGACAGAGTTTCTCGTGAGATATGCTTGTGGGGTTTCATAAAGCTTATGAAAAGCTTTGTGCTGTCTCCTCTTAGAGGCTTAGTCCTCCTTAGGTATACCTTCATATGGCTAACAACACACAATGTCTTATCCGTGAGGTAGGCTTTCATGATAACTGTTGGTGGTTTATATCCAGGTCTGCTTTGTTTGATGTGTTCTGGGAGTAGAAACTCAAACTGTCTCACCTTCCTTTATAAACCGGATATCCAACATGTGGAGACTTTGTCCTCTTTCAGCTGATACCAATGCAGTTAACATTAGCAGTTTCATTGACAGTAGTTTCAATGTCAATTTGTCCCCTGTACCAAGGGATGAGAGGTAATTCAAAACAATATGAGGGTCCCATGTTGTCTTGTAACGAGGTGTAGGCGGGTTGTTTTGAAAATTCCTTTCATAAACCTGGAGATAATAGGATTGCTCCCTATTGTGACATCGTTATGTGGAAGAACAATCACAGAAATTGCACCCCTAGCAGTGTTCAGGGTTGAATATCCTAGTCCCTTCTCATGAAGACTCACCAAAAAGTCAAGCACAGTTGCTATAGGTGAATCATATGGATTGTTCTCCCTTCCATGACAAAATTCAAGCCACTTCTTGATGTATGGTTGATATTGTTTCTGGGTTCCAGAAGTCCAAGATTGGATGATGATATCGGTAGCTTGGCTTGAAATGCCTCTCTGTTCAAACGTTCGCCTGAGGGTTTGCAGGCTATTAGCTGCAGCTTGTTCCTCAAGGGGTGAAGTGCACCGTTGTGAGACTGTCAGGAGGGTTTTGAAGCATGGTAGAATCGGAGGGTTGTCCGTAGGTAGATAAAGGAGAACTGTAAACCAAGGTTGGGTTGGCCAGAGGGGACTATTACTACGCCTGTTGCGCGGTCCTGTTGAATCTTCTGAAGGCACGTTCCAATTAAACTGAAAGGCGGAAATGCATAAAATGATTAATTGTGCCAATTCATATACAGAGCGTTGACAAACATGGCATTGGGGTCTGGTCGCCAAGAGACATAATGAGGGATTTGGAGGTTCAGTTTTGAGGCAAATAAGTCTACATCAAATTTTCCCCAAAGTTTTTGAATGTCTTCAAAAACCAGAGTGCATAGGGACCACTCAGTTGATACATTGAATACTCTTGATTGCTTGTCAGCATCAGTATTTTGAGAACCTGGAATATGACAAGCACTTAACCATATATTAGAATCAATACACCATGCCCATATGGTTTGAGCCATATCATTGCACAAGACAGATTTTATTCCTCCCATTTCATTGATATATGAGACAGTAGTAGTGTTGTCAGACTGGACTCTGTGTTTCCCTGTGGTATTATTACAAAGGGATGTTAGGCCTAGAAGTACTGCCTTCATCCCTAAGTAGTTGATGTGAAAGTCTGCTTCATCTTTACCTTAGGGTCCTCCAGTTTTAGTCCCATTACAGACAGCGCCCCAACCTAAGTTTGAGGCATCAGTTGTAATAGTGATGTCTGGATAACCGAACATTATTGGTCTAGATGCCATATCAATGTTTTCTATCCACCATGCTAACTCTGTCTTGACCATTTGAGATAGGGTCATGGTAGATTCATAATTCCCTGCGTTGACTTTCAGGGCATGAATTTTTTTCAGATTCCAAGGTTCTGTAGTGTAATTAGGCATACTGTACTGCAGGAAAACTGGATACAATTAATCCTATTACCTGCGCAACCTCCCTTATAGTGGGGTTGCAGTTTAACACTAAATTATGGCATGCTGATTCAACTTTTGCTGCTTTACTTGGAGGAAGCTTAACAGTCAGTGCCACACTATCAATTACAAATCCAAGAAACTGTATGGTTTGTGTTGGCTCCAAAACGGATTTAACTGGGTGAATGGTAAACCCAAACAGAGTAAATAAATTGACAGTATCATAAATTTTCTTGTGGCAAGAACCAAGACTATATGCCACAAAAAGTGAGTCATCAATATGTCTTGTACAAATATGACCTATGGATCTCAAATGTGAATAGACTGGTTTGAGTATGTTGGTAAAAACTCGAGGGGCACAAGACAGCCCATTAGGGAGGCAAGTAAACTGGCAGGATTGGCCCTCCCATTCGAACATAAGATATTTCTTATGTTCTGGGTGCACTGGTATGGAATAATATGCATCTTTGAGATCTACGGATGCCATAAAGCACCCTTGTTGTATGAGTTTGAGCGATGTTTGAAAGGTATCAATCTTAAAGTAGTGATAATCCACAACCTCATTGAGTGGGTTTAGGTTTAGAATCATTCTGTAAGAGCCATCCTTTTTGGGTCTTACAAAAATATTGGATATGAAGTCACCAGGTGATCTGTGTGTTAGTTCCAGTACCCCTTAGGAGAGAAGTTTGGAGATTTCCTTACTTATTATGTTTCTCTCATTTGAAGAGCAAAGAATATTGTGTGGCTCTTTATATTGGATGGGATCATCCAGCTCAAACTCAATATGATAATGTTTTATGGCATCCAAGATCACTGGGTTATTGGTCAATAACTCCCAGTGTTGTGGGTAGTTTCACACCTGACCTGCCTGAAAATGTAAGCATTTTTCCTGTAGGTCATCTTTATAGATGTTGGTTTTCGAGACATTACAATTAACATCAATTACCTGTTGTGTTACTGTGTTTTCTGGTTGCCGTTGTTCTTCTTCTGGTTGGTTTGAGTTGATGCCCTGCCATATCCTTAAAAAGGACGGTTGTAGTTCTCCTGGCTGTGTCCTTGCCAAGTATGGGTGGAGCTGGTTGATGGTCTATCATAAGGCTTGGATCGGTGGCCTTTTTGCTTGTAGCTTTTACTAGACTACCTACTTTTTTGCATCTGCTGCCCAGCATGTTTGGCATCTGTCATCTCTTTGAGATGCTTTGATAGGTCATCTCCAAAGAGTTTTTGCGAGGGTTTTATTTCCTCAAAGCCTTGTGTAAGGCGGGTTTAATTCAGGCTTAATAATCTCTCGCCTTTTCATGTTTAGCCTCCAATTGGCATTCCCAAGTATGGCAATTGCGTCCATAACTTGGTTTAAAACTTCACGTGTGTTTGTAGTCTTGGAAGACTGGACGTCTTTCTCTAGGCAGTCTGACAAAATTGCAAGCGCCGATAAGCCCTCAACGAGTGGCTCTTGTACCTTCTGGAAGGCTAAGTCTATCGACTTGTTCTTTCTAGACATGAGGTCCCAAATTTCCTCATTAATAGTAATAGCTTGAAGGTGTTTGCAATTTTCAGGAGGAGCATACTTCTCTCCTTTCTCCCTTGCCATGTCGGCGGACAAATCTTCGGTCAAATTGTCATCGACTAAAGATGCAATTTTGGCGTCAATGGGTGGAGATTTCTTTGGTTTGGATTTTAAAGCCTGAGTCAGGCTATCAATAATATCCTGCTCTGTCATGGAGCGTTGATCTTGTCCATCGGCCGACTTTGCCACTTGGGCGCCTTTGTTTGTGTCAAGCAAGGCATTCACGGTGGCCGTTTGGTCAACAGCGTCGTGGTTTGGCTCCTCTTTATCTGAAAGTTCCTCTTGTGGGTCAGGTAATAAAAGGAGATCTTCAAGGTTCTTGAAGGCTTCCGTCTGGGATAGTGAGGCTTGAGTGAGCTGTGCAATTGAAGCTGGGAGTTCTTGCAAGAGTCCTGTCAATGGTGTTGCATCAGCTTCGGGTCAGCTCATGTGGCCAGGAGAACCATCTGCTGTTCGATCTTCTGTCATTGTGTAGAAGTTGATAAGGTTCACCAAACAGTATTCCTGTGAATTTGACGTGAAAAAGGTAGAAATGGTAGATAAATGCGCGAGAAAAATTTTTGCTCCTTTCCTGAAGGCGCGAAGTGAAAGCACTAACGTGCGCATGCGTACTGCAATCTCATGGGAACCCTGTGGCAGTGGTGACGAAATAGAATTAAGGATTTAATTTTAAATGCTGCTTTGCAAGTTGTCTTAATTTTGCTGTTTAAACAACCGTACATACAAAGGTAAAGTTATCAGTTTTTTTGCATGTCAATATGTTCCTTGCTATTGCTGTTATTCTTCTTAGTCGTACAATTGTACAGATAGAAAGTGTAGTGATCCCAACAGTAATAAAGTATCCAAATAATCAGATTTAACACAACCAATTTCATTGCAAACGTGACATGGCTGCCGCTATCAAAAGCACATGGTTTTTCCTATCCCAGCATACTTAGCGGCCTAATACATTACATCTCTCCTTTCCTCACAAAAATGCTCCTTTACATGAAAAAGAAATCTCCACTAACAATAAAGTCAACTGTACTAACGATAGTCTCTTCTTCTAAAATATGCAAACAGAAACTTCAATTTTCAAACTGTACATAGTTCTGAAGAGAGAATCAGTGTTCATGTTCCCCAAAGGAAATTAAGAACATAGTCTCTTAATCAATCTCCTTGTCCTCTTGGGTCTCCGATTCCTTGATGGCTCTGGTGCCGCTTTAACCTTCTCCTAGCCCAGCAGTCGATTCTGGTATGGTTGGTTGGTAAGGTGATGGCACAGCACAACTGACACCCATGGCATGCTCGGCAATGTCTCTCAGTCACTTTATCCATCCCTGGCCACCACACCTTGGTTCTGAGGTTCTGTTTGGTGCCAACCACGCCCAAGTGGCCTTCAGGAGCAAGTGCTAAGGTCCTTGGCTGCAGCTTCCTAGGAATAATAATGTGTGTACCCCTAAGTACAAGCTGACCAATGACACACAACTCCCCTGCCACTGTCATATTGTCTACACTTTTCAAACCGCCCCGTTGCAATAGCTTTCCTCACTTCTTTCAGCTCTTCATCATCAGCAGAGGCCTCTTCTATCTCATGGGTTGTGAGTGTCGTTGGTGTTGCACTTAAAGCGACAAACCTAACATACTCTTCAGTGCACCGCTGGTGGTTGTCAGGTTCAACCCTCCTATGAAGTAGTCGCGACAATGGATCAGCAATGTTCTCGTGCCCAGGCTTGTGTATCACACTGAAATCATATGGCTGTAATCTGAGGACCCATCGCTCTATCCGTGTACATTGTCTTGACCGTGGACCATATATGACCTGTAAAGGCTTGTGGTCAGTCTCCACAACAAACATCATCCCATACACATAGACATGGAATCTCTCACAGGCCCACACCACACCCAGTGCCTCCTTCTCTGTCTGGGAATATCTCTGCTCTCATCTGGTCAAACTACGACTCGCCTAACATACCAGTGAGCATGCACTGTCCTCCTCCTGTACAAGAACAGCGCCCAGCCCAACTGGACTGGCATCCATGATTATCTTGGTGGGTGCATTCTTATCGAAAAATGCCAAAGTGCAAGCTTCTGCCATCTTCTCTTTGAGAGATTCAAAGGACTTCTTCTGCTCTGGTCCAAATTCAAAGGGTGTCTCTTTCCTTGTCAGCCTTCACAGTGGTTTGGATAAAGTGGCAAAGTAAGGTATGAACCGGCTACTTTAGTTGGCTAAACCCAGAAAGCTACGTACATCTGACACACTCTTTGGTTCTTCCACCTCTAATACTGCTTTAACAGGATCTGCTGTACCCATGAACACCAGCCTGTCCGTATTGAACAAACATTTCTCAGCATTTAAAGTGAGGCCACACTCTTGCAGATGCTCTATAGTTTGGTGGAGTTGCCTGTTGTGTGTTTCTGTGTCCGGACCTTGCACCACAATGTCATCTGAAATGTTTTCGACACCTTCAATACCTGCCAGGGCTGAAGCAATTTCATGCTGATATTGTTCACTGGCAGAACAGACACCAAAGAGCAAGCACTTATATTGAAACAAACCATCAGGTGTAGCAAAGGTTGTGATTTCCCTGGATTCTGGGCTCAACTCCAGCTGGTGGTACCCCCATTTAAGGTCTGATTTACTGAAGACCTTAGAACCATTCATGGTATGTAACATCTCATCAACCATGGGAATTGGATATCGTCTTCGCATGGTTGCTTGTTTTGCCTGTCTCATGTCCACACATAGGCAGAGTTTCCCTTTGTTCTTTGGGACGATCACAACAGGGTTGACCCAGGGGGCTGGACCCTCCAGTGGTTCAATTATTCCCATGTCCAATAGTTCTGTGGTCTTATCTCGTATCTTTCGTCTCAGATTGAATGGTATCCTTCTATAAGGCTGTGCAATAGGTTTTACATTGGGGTCTATATCCAGGGATATCTGCTTGTTTTTCAATTTTCCGACAGCCTCAAATACCTCAGGTACTACTGTTTTAAACTGTCAGCTTTACTTGTTACCATAGCAATGTTTATGTTATCTTTCCAAGCAGTGACATCCCTCTACCTTTAATTACCAAGACCTCAGCTTTGGTGGATCTATCACAAACACTCACTGTACACTTAAAACTACCCTTCACTGGCAGTGGCTGACTAGACGCATATGGGTACAGCTTCTTGTTCAGGGTAGCAGCTTGTGATTCACACTTCACTCCTTTCCCCTTTAGCTGTTCCCACGTCCTCTCCTCAATAATGTTGCTGTTTGCCTCAGAGTTTATTAACATCTTAAGGTCTACTCCTCCTACTTGTACGGTGACCATTTCTGAGTGTTCTCCTTCTGTAATACTGAATGCATGGTCATGCTTAGGCCCAGGGTCATTGTCATCGGGTTCCCTCCCAACCTGATGAGCATATGACTTTGTCTTGCAAACTTTTTCAAAATGATCTTTCCCGGGAAACTTTATACATGTTTCACCTCTTGCTGGGCACTGGGGATCACGACCGAAATGTCCCAATAAAACACATCTATAACATATCTTCTCTCTCCCTTGGAATCGCCCTTGTGTACTAGTACTCGGATTGTTACTTCTCTCATTGATTCTATTAATACTATCTGATTCTTCCCCCTTTACTGGAAGGGCAGCCAGTTGGGTTTCTATCTTTGCATTTTGCGGCAACCTCTAGGGTGCATGTTAAGCTCGGTCCTTGGCCTTCTTCAAGCAATTTTCATTTGATGTAAGTGGAAGTGCAGTTATTCAAAAGTGCATCTCTTATCTGGTTGTCGGTATCACTGCCAAAATCAAAATCTTTAGGTGCTTTCCTTAAGTGAGAGACAAACTGTTGAACTGTCTCACCTGGGTTTTGTGTGATCTGCTGAAAGGTCTGGCAGGCGAATGCTGAATTTGCCTGTGGCACGAAGTAGGCGTTGACAGCTTCAACAGCACTGGCGTAATTTGTAGCATCCCCGGTTTCAGTTAAGGTGGTAAATATGTCCTGTACATCAGGCCCAGCCAGGTTGAGTAAGATTGCTCTTCCCCTCTGTTTAGTCACTGCTGTGGTTCCTTCACTTATAATAAGCCCTTATTGGCATACAGTTCGAATGAAGTTAACCACCTCATCCATCGAGGGCCAATTGTCGCTGGATCAGAGAAACAATCAAACTTTGGTAACACGTTCTTTTCCATTTTTTTGTCCTCGTCGCCAAATCCCAAGAGTAATAAAGTATCCAAACAAACAGATTTAACACAACCAATTTCATTGCAAACGTGACATGGCCGCCGCTATCAAAAGCACATGGTTTTTCCTATCCCAGCGTACTTAGCGGCCTAATACATTACAGAAAGTAACAGCATCAAATTATTTATGAGGAGATCTTTTGCCCTTCAAGGATTAAATAATTAAATGGAAAGTTAAAAATTTTTAATTGAGGAAATTGTTAATTGAGGCATACTTTTTGAATACGTTGATAAGGGGGCGGCCCTTCTTTGATGCGTCTGACTTTTTCAGTGCCGACAAAGGTCTCACCCACACCTGAAGTATCATATGCATAAACAAAGGTTTCCCTGCTATGCTGGTTGTATGCAAATTTGACTATATGCCAGCTATGTTGGCAGTTGAGGATATTTGACTGTGGATGTGCTCATAATTATTATATTATGTTCAGTAGATGTTAGAAAACAGTGGCTGGATGCTACAATCCCGGACAAAACTACTTGAGAATTTGTATCCCTCCATGCACACTATTGAACACAACAACACTATTACAACAACAACTGATTTGCGGTACCAAATCCCCCCCCCCCCCCCGGGTAAACTTTATACATGTTTCACCTCTTGCTGGGCACTGGGGATCACGACCGAAATGTCCCAATAAAACACATCTATAACATATCTTCTCTCTCCCTTGGAATCGCCCTTGTGTACTAGTACTCGGATTGTTACCTCTCTCATTGATTCTATTAATACTATCTGATTCTTCCCCCTTTACTGGAAGGGCAGCCAGTTGGGTTTCTATCTTCGCATTTTGCGGCAACCTCTAGGGTGCATGTTAAGCTCGGTCCTTGGCCTTCTTCAAGCAATTTTCGTTTGATGTAAGTGGAAGTGCACTTATTCAAAAGTGCATCTCTTATCTGTCCAAAATCAAAATCTTTAGGTGCTTTCCTTAAGTGAGAGACAAACTGTTGAACTGTCTCACCTGGGTTTTGTGTGATCTGCTGAAAGGTCTGGCAGGCGAATGCTGAATTTACCTGTGGCACAAAGTAGGCGTTGACAGCTTCAACAGCACTGGCGTAATTTGTAGCATCCCCGGTTTCAGTTAAGGTGGTAAATATCTCCTGTACATCAGGCCCAGCCAGGTTGAGTAAGATTGCTCTTCCCCTCTGTTTAGTCACTGCTGTGGTTCCTTCGCTTATAATAAGCCCTTATTGGCGTACAGTTCGAATGAAGTTAACCACCTCATCCATCAGGGGGCCAATTGTCGCTGGATCAGAGAAACAATCAAACTTCGGTAACACATTCTTTTCCATTTTTTTGTCCTCGTCGCCAAATCCCAAGGGTAATAAAGTATCCAAACAAACAGATTTAACACAACCAATTTCATTGCAAACGTGACATGGCCGCCGCTATCGAAAGCACATGGTTTTTCCTATCCCAGCGTACTTAGCGGCCTAATACATTACAGAAAGTAACAGCATCAAATTATTTATGAGGAGATTTGAGATCTAAAATGTATGTACACTAGATCTTTTGCCCTTCAAGGATTAAATAATTAAATGGAAAGTTAAAAATTTTTAATTGAGGAAATTGTTAATTGAGGCATACTTTTTGAATACGTTGATCAAGGGGCGGCCCTTCTTTGATGTGTCTGACTTTTTCAGTGCCAACAAAGGTCTCACCCGCACCTGAAGTATCATATGCATAAACAAAGGTTTCCCTGCTGTGCTGGTTGTATGCAAATTTGACTATATACCAGCTATGTTGGCAGTTGAGAATATTTGACTGTGGATGTGCTCATAATTATTATATTATGTTCAGTAGATGTTAGAAAACAGTGGCTGAATGCTACAATCCCGGACAAAACTACTTGAGAATTTGTATCCCTCCATGCACACTATTGAACACAAAAACACTATTACAACAACAACTGATTTGCGGTACAAAATCCCCCTCCCCCCCAGGTCAATGTTGTTTCCTACAAGTGTCTAAGGATCAGGGTTGCTTTAGAACACACAACAACATTGCTTCCAAGGGGAGGGGGGAAGGGAGGACACGGTATAGCGAGGATGTTAGGAAAAATGCTCTGCGA